CCCATTTCCTTGAGATTTATACAGTCTGTCATAAGAGGACGTTTGAAAGTTCGTTGGTCTGGTTGATCGAATCCCCTTTGGTCTAGATTGTACGTTTGAATCAAGCGGTGTTGTTTTTCGTTGTAGGGAATTATTATTATTATTTCTTTCAATTCCTAGAGAAAGATAGGGCTTCAGCCACACGTCTCCATTGCGTTCGGTTCTCTGCTAAAGTTTTCACCTGACTCCTCTTCACATGACCTCATCCAAGTTACACTTGGACGACCAACTTACGGCATCCTTTTCGGGTTCCACTCGAGCGATGGCTTGTCTAGTGATGTCACTTGATGGTTTGGTTTCTTAGAGTATGGCCAATCCATCTCTATTTCTTCCTGCTTACTTTTGCACAATCGGTTCCTGCCGGATTGGTTCGCTCCCAGAGATCCCTATTGCTGATATTTTCTGGCCGGTCATCTGTTCTTGAGTAGTAGTGAGCAGAAACAGCTGTTGATGAAGGTCTGTTGTTTGTTTGAGATGCTCTTCATGACGCGCCAAGTCTCCCATCCGTATGGTAATTAGCGCTGACTTCACATTAGAGTTGAAAATCCGGATCTTATTTTTGATGCTGAATAGGACTGTTGACCTCCACACAGACTTGAGAGTAATGAAAGCTTGCCTTGCTTTCCCGATCCTCGTAGCTTTGATATCCTCATCAGTTCCGTCCGTCTGTAGTTGAAACGATGCTTCCCAGGTAGGTCGGTAGGTAAAGGAGGTTGTTTCTTTCAGGTTCATCCCATTTATGCTGGCTGATTGTTGTCTGTTGGTGTTGGCCAGGTATCTTCATCACCTTTGTTTTCTCTATGTTCACCTGAAGGATGTCTTATCTTTGATACTTCTTCCACTGTCAACTTGTTGCTTTTCATCACTTGCATATTTTCCAGTTTATGGGAAATCAGATATATATTATATGTGTTATCGGCAAAGTCCAGATCCTCCAAGTTTTTTGTAAGGGTCCATTTTATGCCTGTAGGGAATATATATAGTAATTTGCGATACAAGAGAGATTGGTTGTCATGTGGACGAACAGCTAACCTTGAGTGTCACTACTACTGTTGTCTGCATTGAAAGAGAATGCCATTGTTGAAGAGACCTAAGGTAAGACAAAACAAAACAATTATTATCACATTTAATATTACTATTCAAGAAAACAAACTGCTTATCGCCTTATCATTGTGTTTGTATATTTGTATGAGAAATCACTTGATATAGATAGAATGCCTATTTCATTACTTATCATCTGTCTGAAGATACATGTATGTATGCATGGCGAATTTATTGATTTCTCTACACCTACTTATTTTGACTACACAAAAGTCATCAGTCTTTGTCTAGTACATTAGATATAGGGTGTTGGTTACGTACTGTATTAGAGGAACATGGAAACAATGTCTGGTGTATGTGTGTACGTGCATGTGTTCATCCTCTTTTTATTTATTGTTGTTGTGTTCGTGTGTGCATGTGTGTGTGTTTAAGTGTGTATTTGCATCAACTGGCACCAATATACCAACTTCTATCTATATAGATGATAGGCAGGCAGGTAGGTAGGTAGGTAGGTAGGTAGTCAAAGCTGGGAGGTAGGTATAGTGTAGGTTATCTGGGGCAACAGATAGACGTAAAATGTAGAGTAGATTAGTTACACAGGTAGAATGCATTCCACATATTTCTGTGACATGTTGTTGTTGTGATTGTGTATAAACGAGTGAATAAGTGAAAATAAATATCTCTGCAATGAAAGTGTTTGATTGATCTACATTGATTGAGGTTAAAACCAAAAACGCGACCTCCTAGTCTATTTTTACTGACCAAGAATTGTGTAGCTTTAAATAACTATAAAACACCTGTCTCACTATTATGTCTCATTTTCAGATATTCGGTGTTTGTGTCGTTTAGCTTATTATTATATTATTGTTCCCTTGGGTTCCTAGTGTGGAACATATGGCTTCAACTGCATATCTCCACTTGCTTCTGCTGTACTTTTCGCCTGGATCCATGTTACCCCATACTGCGTTTCAACTCCTCCTCTTCACACGATCTCCTCCATGTCACCCTTGCACTGACGTCCCATTCGCCTCTTCCCATTCTGTCGGGTTCCACTCGAGCAATAGGCTGACGCTCGCGCGATGTCACCGGGCGGCGGCCTCCTCAGCGAGTAGTGTGTCCAATCCATCTCCATCCACTTTCTCCTATATATTTGTTGGTTGTCGATTGGTTTGTTCTTGTTTTGTTTGTTTGTTCCCATAGTTTCTTGTCAGTGGTGATTCTTTCCGGCCCGGCCATCTAATTGATCTTCAGTATAGAGCCAGCGAAGACAGTTGTTGGTTGATATAGGTCTGCAACAGGCTGTTGGGGGAGATATTCTTTGTCACCCGCCCACCAAGTTTCTGATACGTATCATTTTAAGTGATATAAATAATCTCATCAAATCTCGATTCTTCTGCTTCTGATTGCTAGAATTTAGTTATGCGGAATAAACTTACTCATCATCATGAACTACGGCATGAACAACTACACATGATATGAGCGTTGTTAATACTACTGTTCAACTAGCTGAACACCTGGCTGAAATAAGTGAAGTGGTGTTCAAAACTTTAATTCGTTCCTTCGACTGCCCTTCCCACCTTTTTTTTTGAATTCATTTACGTTCCCCCACTGGAACATAGTGTGTTTCAAGCTAGAGACTTGAAGTTTCGGTAGCAGTGGTGTTTATTTTTACAGGATAGGGTTGCCTAACCTTCCTTCTTTTACCGGTCTGATTACTGACTTAGCAAGGCAAATGAGTGCATTGGTAGCTGGAGATCGCACCCCGGACCATATGCATAGTCGGCGAGTATTTTCTACCGCTGTGCCACCTACGTTACTGCCATCTCCCCACATATTTGTTATTTATTGCATTTTCGTGTGCCTCTATGAAGTAAGCATAGGAGTATTGATTTTCCATTGTTGGTTTCAGAGATTGGTGGAATACTCACCAACCACGTTTCAACTGGTCTAGAAGTTAATCCCTGGTCGACATACTCCTGAACCTTGCTTAGCCAATAGTAGTAAGCCCGGTAAAGAAGGGAAACGTGGGCGTATGCTAGAATTTATTGATTATTTATTCATGACCAATATCCCTTCAAGTGGAAATATAACTTCAAGTTTTGAAGTTCCACTAGGGATTGTATTGTTTTTAACGAGATGGAATTGTGCCTAGCCTAGCTCCATGCCTTCCAAGCGCTTACTGCTGGCTAGATGACGTTTAGAAATGCATCGGTCGAGAATTAAACTGTAACCTCTCGTGTACGTGTGTGTGTATTTGTGTTTAGTGAACACTGTACCACTGAACCATCGACTCATATACTGTAGGTATAGGTAGTTAGACACTGTGATAATAAAGTAACACTTGATTTCCGGTTTTTCTAACTTGATTAGAAAGGCGCCTGCATAACACGACACTATAACCAGTTGATCTTCCACACACTGTAGATCAGACACAAAAATCAGATTGGTAAAAATGACGATCTGAACGATAACAACCCCCTTTTTTAATTCAACAACGTACGTCGTATACAATATGCACGAAATCTCAGAAACGTAAGCCATAAATAGAGAAATCTGATTGGCTGTTCGATATCATGAAAAAAAAATTAAGCCGAAAATAAACCAATGAAAAATTGTCCAATCAGGTTATCATTTTAAAACAAGCAATAAAGGTTAATATAGCAGGATTTAATGACTTCATCAAATTTCGGTAGAACACGTCAGCTACTGAATACTCTACATACACGTGTATATATATATATATATATATATATATATATACTTTTGAAATTACATTGGTAGATAAGTAAACAAGCTATATTCAATTGGTCATGCAGAAAGACACGTGCGAATGTTTTACAGGTCATGTTCAAATAGATAAGGCGAGAGAGAGTATGGGAGATCAAAATTAAGATAAATTGCATTACGCTTCAATTACATCACTTAGATAAACAATTTGTCATTAGGGAATATAACGAGAATTGTAAACAGACTAATATCAATAGTAATAGTTATAATAACAATTTTAATAGTGTTGAAGTGAGTTAAGATAACCTTACGGATAAAGCATAGTTTTAAATAAATCAAGAATAAAAACAATAATAATAAGAAGAAGAGGTAGAATAGTAGTAATAACAAGTAGGGAATAATAAGTAAAACGTATTACCATGGTAGATTCAGAGTGACGACCATCTCCTTTTGTATACAGAGAGTGGGTTTGTAAATTCGAATTGCACAAGCCTCCTCTGCAATTACAAGCATCTTTTTGTTTCTTTGTTTACTGACAATGGCGAATGACTTGACAGTGTCGATATCATGTCCGTAATCCACGAGATGTTTTGTTATTGAGGATTTTGGGACTTTGCACTCAGCTGTTTTCAACCATTTTGGCAAATGCTCCATCATGCAAGTAGACAATCGCCTTTCCGTACGACCTATGTATTTGCTTCCACAAACACACTCAAATTGATATACGCGGCAGTTTGAAGTGTCGAGGATTGGTGACTAGTCTTTCCCAGATTGTTGAAGCACTGTCACTTGGTGGTGGTGTTAAGGAACACGGATGAGTTTTGTAGCATAATAAGTTCTCTTGACGGCTTTATCGAGTTTCTGTTTGACTACTTCCTGTACATCATCTCCTTTGAACGGCAAACTGATGTAGACAGGTTTCTTCGGAACTGTTTTGAATTGTTTTGCAGGGTGTGTGTGGTTTCTTTAGAGTATTTTTTAATGAACTTCTCAGGATATTCATTCTTAGATAAATTTGATGAATTCATTAAATCATCCTCTTTTATTAACCCCTTTATTGCTTGTTTTAAATTTGTATTGGGAAATATGTCTTCGATTCTAGAACAGGTTATCATTATCAATATATGCATAAAACATATCTAGCTTCATAGCTAACAGTTAGTTTTTCTCTCTTTTTTTATTGATTTTTTTAGATAATGCATGTACGTGAAGCTACTGAGCTAGACTTAATCCATGCGAAAAAAGAAGATCTGAGTAAAACTATACAAATTTTCTATCAAAATCCAACTACTACTACTGTTGCTGCTTCTAAAGTAGTACATCATCAGGTTTATGATTCCAATAACAATAATAATAATGAAGACACTGAATTAGATGTCTGTGAGACGAGTATAGTGTCTTCTGGCACACAAAATTCCCTATCTTCATCACTATTGAAGTCTTCCAGTAAATCCAGTCAAGATCATACTACTACTACTAATAATAATAGTGGTACTATTAACACTAATACTAATTCAACATCTATTCAATGGATGAGTCATAATTTTCAATTAATGCGTTTTCATTTAGGCAATGTATTATGTGATGTTTGTCATAAAAATTGTTCTGACCTACTGAATCCACCAAAAGCATTGGAATGTTTAAATTGTCGTCTTCGTATACACTTTGATCATGTTGACAAACATGAAAAGTTCACTTCATGTCATAATGCTGCAAATGTTCGTTATCTACGTATGTCAAATTCAGCTGTGAAAAAAGTATGGATTGAACAATTGATTGCATTGCGTCAATGTTTAAAAGAATTACAGCAACAACAAGAACAAGATCCAGAGCAGATATCATTAATTGATGGAGATATGCTCACGTTAACTGGTGATACGGCCAATAATAGTGGTAGCAGTGGTTCTACAATTAGCAGTCTGAATACAATGAAACCGATTTATCGTAGTATGCGAGCTGGTTCACTTGGCCCGTCAACAATTCAACAAAACAGCAGTATTACTACAAGCCAACGATCAGATAGCCTAAATTATCTACAATATTCATTTCGTAAAAAAATTATTGGACATACTAATAGTGGTGTTGGCGGCGCATCCGCTTCTACTTCTGGTTCTCGTCCCAGTGGGAATTCATCATCATCACCGAAGTGTAAATCACCACGTTCTGCTTCACCAGCTCTTGTCTTCCCAAAGTTTGAAGATCGATAAATAGGAGAGGACTGCATGCTTGTCTGTGTGTGTTCGTGTGTGAATACTTTTCTCTCTCTCTCTCTCTCTCTCTCTGTCTCTCACCAGTTTTTATCTCTTTTATCAGCTGCTTTTTATACATTTTAGTCATAGTTACTACTGCTACTACTACTACTCCGTCAGTCCAGTCAGTTGATAAATGGGATGAGAAAATAGTGTCTTCCAACCATCTCTGTGTATTACTCATTTCCTGCTCATATATGATTGATTGCTTTATAACCGATCACCGCCGCCTTGACAAAAGGATATATCTATCTATCTATCTGTCTGTGTATGTATGAATGTACAGATGCCTAAACTATATAGAATATATAAATACAGTTAACTGTGATTTTCACTGTTGTTGTAAGACGTTATGACTGTTTGTGTTTCTTGACCCGGTCATCGTGGAAGTATATATCTATAATACGTCAGCTGTTCAATGTCACAATGCTTGTGTGACGCTTGTATTCTGATAACTGACTGCTGTCTTTTGTTATTATTATGGTCTCTCCTCTGTTATATATATATATCTTTATATGAAAAGAAGACACTTTCACAGCTGAAACACACAGAGTACACTGTTTTCTCCATCAGGCACACCACCCACCCTCCCTTCTCTGCCTCCATCATACACACACACACACACATGCACACAGCGCTTGTGTTTTGCCAACAGAAACGCAACCAAAGAAAATCGAAATCACACATACATAGAATGGAGAGCTTAACTTATCTTTTTCTCCATTCCTCCCCCCACCCCACTGCACGTACGTTCTACTATGTCTTTATGCTGTATTTCTTGTGCCTTCTACCTACTGCACCACACATACACCCCCCCACACACACACACTGAGGTACATCGTTTCTGGTTTTGCTGGTTGTCAATGGATCGATGATATTAGCGTTGCTGCCGCTGCTTAACAAGTACCCTTTTTGGTATAATTATTATTATGCCTTGTTCTCTCTGTTACGTTTTGTGGGATGACCTTTCTTCATTCTTGTTATTATACTATTATTATTATAATTATATTCCTCTATTTTTGTCTATCTATTATTGTAATAGATGTAAACATCATTCGCCTGTCGACACGTTGTAGTTGTAGTAGTGTGGTGTATGCGCGTACAACCGTACACACGCCATATCCAAGGAGAAGTGTAATAATGAGGGAACTGAAGAATGCCGCCCCTGTTTTCGCTGCTGTATTGTGTACATTCTGACTGTGTGTATGTATGTATCTCTGTGTGTATGTGTGTGTGTGTGTGTCATAGGTTCTGGCGTCATTCTTATCATCGCCAGTATATCTGTTGATGTTGTGTTATTCTGAAATATTTGTTATATTTGATTTTGTGTGATAAGGATGTGTGAAGTTGGGTGGGTGGTTGAGTGGAGGGGGAGGCGGTGAGAGGAATACTATTTATACTACTATAATTGTTACTATTATTATTATTATTATTATTATTATTATTATTATTAACAATCAGTTTTCATATATTTTTGCACCAGAATTTTGCCAATTCAATAAGATAAATTTATTATTATTATTACTGTCTTCCTGATATCTATTTATTCATCACAATTATAACTGTGAAGGAGCAGAAGGGGAAATAAGCAAACATTTTTGCGATATACATTACTGTACATATATTACTTATATATATATATATATATATATATATATATAATAGAAGCGTATTTATAAAAGTCTTCTGTTTTGTAATAGTAGTAGCACTTGAATTTAGGCCTCGACGAGGTTGTGAAGCTACATCGACTGAGACGGTTAGGACATGTGTCACGTATGTCTAGCCTAGTCATCACCTTCCTCGACCGACAGGCAATGTTAGCTGATGTGGGATGGATCAGGTTGGAAAAGAGTTAGCCAGTGGTAGTTGAACCAAAACATCGCTTTATCAGTCAATGAAAAAAAGGAACAACAGTTAGTCTAAGTCAGCCACATAAGAAGGTGTCGACTTCCTGACTGGTTGGGGTCCTCAAGACGGTAAAAACAAATGACGGTTGGAGACAATTGATGATATGATTCAAAATCGTTGTCAATGGCTGGCTGGCGCAGATGCATCCACTCCTTGTGACTTATGATTTCCAATGAAACTATATTGTTCTTCGTTACGCCTATTCCTTTGTCTCACACCTCTGTTTACTGTCTCTATTATGCATTTATGCTACTTTTTTTGTCTTGGTTTGTGTGCTACATGGAGAGAGTGTGGCGAATTGAACTGGTGCACATATGTGCAAAGTTCTATGTCGAAAACAGCCAGCCAGACAGATTACTATCGATTCAGCTGAATGTAAAAGTCGTATTCATGCTGAAAATTCCATGCCTGTACCAAAAAATACGGTGTGGAATCAAGCTGTAGTCGAAAAAACAAAAAAAAGGGAGATGTTGTTACAGGACTGAACTACACTGACTCACTCCTAGCTTACAAATAGGGAGTGAAGTGGTAGAGCCCGTTGACTGCTTCACTTATTTGGAAAGTTGCATCAGCCGGCGCCAGAAGGGTTGATCGTTGACGAAATCTTGGCACGGATACAGAGGGCTAGTTTCGTATATGCCAGTTTACGCCGTCTGTGGCTTAGTAAACGTGATATCCGGCTGGATATCGACCATAGGGCGGGTGTACTGCTCATCAGTCCGCTCCGTCCTTCTTTATGGCTAGTTGTGAGACCTGGCCATTTAGAGTGGAAGACATGAAAAGATTAGCTGTCTTTGATCATAGGTGCCTGCGTTCTATCTCTCGCGTGAATTGGTATAATAAGGTGAGCATTATTGAGGTTCGGCCTTAGTCGAGTTCTAGGTAAGGAGGGGAAATCAATCGACGAGGTTGTGAAGTTACATAGACTGAGATGGTTAGGACATGTGTTACGTATGCCTAGCCTAGTCATCGCCTTCCTCGACGAGCAATGTTAGCTGATATAGGGTCACGCTGGAAAAGAGCTAGCGGAGGTCAAACCAAAACATGTCACCAGTCAATGAAATCTACAAGAGTTAATTCCATTATGGGTAAATTTTGTTTTGATAAAGTCTCACAGTGTTATACAGTAATGTTTACTGATGACGTTTCGAGCACAATTTATTGCTCATAATCATATCAAGGTAATCACACGACTTCCTAAATTCATTTATATAGTTCCATTGTTTTTCTCTTGATTTTCACTTGATTTGATTGGTAATAGTATTTTCCATATTTCAGGTATGAGTGACGAGTCATTCCTATTGCATGTGTTGGGTGTAGACTCGATGAACAAGGATTCAGTAATCAACCTCTCTCTCCACCTACCTAGATTACTTTTTAGAATTTTAACCCTCTCCCACCCTATTGTGTGGTTGTGTGTTAGCGCATGCATTGCAATTGCTGAGCTTTTTTCTAAATTACTTATCTTCTCGGGGTCAACCATTCTAACCTTAGCTAAATTTTTATGCTCTGACAATCTGACTACCCCTGACCTACTAGTTTGACCTATGTAGTTGACCTCACAGTCATTGCATGGTATTTTGTAAATAATATTATTTTGTCTAATTGGGTCAACTGGGTCCTTTAACCTACAGAGCTTGTCCCTGAGTGAGTTTGTAGGTTTAAATGCCACTCTAATTCCTATTTTATTCAGAATCCTACGTAGTGTCTCAGATGTCCCCTCTTTATATGGTATAACTGTGGATGACTTATATTCTTTCTTATTTATGTTATTATTACTCGTTTCACAATTATTTTTATTTTGTTTTTGGCCTTTAGTGATCTTCCTAATGAATTTTATAGGATAGTTATTCAACACCAACGCTTCTTCTATCTGTTTTAATTCATCATTTAGATCGTTTTTTGTGCTACTTAGTGCCACTGCTCGGTTTGCTAAACATTTAACTAAGCCTGCCTTAACAGTTAAATATATAGACAAACAGAAGGTGTAGCAATGGGATCACCAATATCCCCTATCGTAGCAGACATATTTATGGATAGCTGGGAAAATAGTGCCCTCAATACATTTAACCCTACTCCGAAAATATGGTGGAAATATGTGGATGACACTTTCACAGTGTTAAAAACAGAACACATCTCTAGCTTCTTGACACACATAAACTCACAAGTTGAGGGAAGAAAATTCACATTTGAATCAGAAAATGAACAAGGAGAATTAGCTATGTTAGATTGTAAAATAAAACGAATAGAAGAAGGCAAACTACACACTAGTGTTTATAGAAAACCAACGCATTCTAATAGATATTTAGACTTTAATTCGTCTCATCCTTTAACTGTTAAGGCAGGCTTAGTTAAATGTTTAGCAAACCGAGCAGTGGCACTAAGTAGCACAAAAAACGATCTAAATGATGAATTAAAACAGATAGAAGAAGCGTTGGTGTTGAATAACTATCCTATAAAATTCATTAGGAAGATCACTAAAGGCCAAAAACAAAATAAAAATAATTGTGAAACTAGTAATAATAACATAAATAAGAAAGAATATAAGTCATCCACAGTTATACCATATAAAGAGGGGACATCTGAGACACTACGTAGGATTCTGAATAAAATAGGAATTAGAGTGGCATTTAAACCTACAAACTCACTCAGGGACAAGCTCTGTAGGTTAAAGGACCCAGTTGACCCAATTAGACAAAATAATATTATTTACAAAATACCATGCAATGACTGTGAGAGGTCAACTACATAGGTCAAACTAGTAGGTCAGGGGTAGTCAGATTGTCAGAGCATAAAAATTTAGCTAAGAAAATAAAAGACGGATTCAGCGAAGAAAATTTTCTTTATCGACGAAATCATCTTCAGAGGCTGTACAGTCGTATTTATACTTAGAAGAATGTATAGTGGTCTATTATTGAATAATAGGGGGTGACATAATTGCTGTAATTAATCATAAGTGGCTAAGGTTAGAATGGTTGACCCCGAGAAGATAAATAATTTAGAAAAAAGCTCAGCAATTGCAATGCATGCGCTAACACACAACCACACAA